CTGGCTCAGGACCAGCAGGGGGTGTGGTGGCAAAGGTGCTGGATCCCACATAGCCCTCAACGCAGTTCAAATCCCACGTGTGTGCCCAAAATCCCGAAAGACGGGAGAAGGGACTGGTGTGGCCATCCCACTGGGGGGTAATCTCTTACTTTGTTTAGTGAGCGCACATGCCCTACAGCAAAAACTGGGGGGAAGGGGACAATCCTGGCCTAGAACCCAGTACTGGGCCTCAGTCTGCGGAGGCCAGGCCCACTCAGCGTGCCCAGGCCCGGGTTTTTCTCGCTGTCACACCAAGCTCGGTTGTGTCGGTGCTCAGTCCAGTGGCTCCCTCTAGTGGCAGCTTGTAGCACCCGGCACGCTGTGGGGCCCTAGGTGGCACAGCAGAGGGAAACTGCCCCCCCCCAGCTTTCTGGGAGCCCACCAGGCCCAGAAGGTGGGAGGCAGGAGCTGGGGCCACAATGTCCCAGAGCTTGGGCATGGATGACCTCATCTCCCCCCATCCTTCAGGATGGAGGGGCCTCTTCAGAGTCAGGCCTGGCCTGAGAGGAGGTGTCACTTAACACAAGGTGGCTGGGGAGCCCAAGGGGAGTAAAGGACATTTATTTCACATTCACACAGCTGTACATTTTCTATAAATAAAGTGGAGCTGAAATATTTACAATCACTTCTTGCCCCCCTCCCCCACGGCCGCCCTCCCCCTGCACCCCGTGCCCGGAGGTGCTGCCTGCAGGTGCAGACCCTCCCCACCCTCCCTGGCCCTCCGACAGAGCAGCCAGTGGTCCCTGGGACTCCATGGCCCCAGCTCCTCCGTCCTCCCTGCCCAAAGGCAAGGCAGCCCACAGGCGGCTGCTGCCGGCTGTGCGTCCTGCCACAGCTGCGTGGCCTCATGGCCAGTGGCCGGGCTTGTGGCCCATGGGCAGGAGCTGCCAGCTCAGGAAATGCACGAGGAAGCTGGGAGGTCCCACACCATCACCCAGCGGCTCCCGACTTCCCTGCCCTGCACAGCTCTCCTCTGGGGGGGCAGGCCCTGAGTTCCTCGCAGGCCAAGTGGAATCGCTCCTGGTGACCAGCTATGCCGGCCACCAAGGATGGAGCGCTGGACTCTTGCACTGGAGGGTTGTAATGCCCAGGACAAGGCCCAGGACCAGGACACGAGCTGTCTCAAGGATACACACGAATGGGCTCGCATTGGCCCGACACACACGCACGCACACTCTCGAGTCCTGTGGGGACAGTGGGCGGGTCTCCGGGAGCGGAGAGGGAGGCAGTGGACGGGGCTAGCTCAGCCCTGTGACAAGACATTCAAAGACACTCAGAGACACAGAACTGGGGACCATCGACCACGTGGAGGGACTGGCGAGGACGCACACACGGTCCACTCGGTCGTAGCAGCGTTGTGCACTGGGAACAGTGAGCGGCGACGGGCGCCCTCCCCGTCAGCTAGACACAGGCCGCGGCGGCGTTCGGAGGTCCTCCTCGCTGCTGCGGACCGCGGCCACGTAGGAGAAGAGACACAGCACGGAGTAGCAGATCTCGTGGGCCTAGGGGGAGAAAAAGCAGACGGATGGATGACGCCGAGACGCCGCCATCTTCGCACGGGGAAGACCTGCCCTAACTCTGGGCGCAGGCCTCGGGGCAACGCGGGGGCCCGTCCCCGTGGGAGAGGTCACCACACGTGTGTCTCCCAGGGCTGACGCCTGGTTTCAGCCTCAGCGAGCCACGGTATCTAGACCGAGGCCCCACTCACCCCTGCGCGCCCAGAGCCGCCCTCCTGTGCGAGGTCCCGGGGGAGCCCTGGCAGGCTGTGGCCTCGGGCGGGGTGGCACACTCACCATTGGTGTCTTGTACTTGTGGCTCACCACTTCTTTAATTTCAGGAACTAAAACCGGACGGGCAAGAGACAAAACAGAAAGTTCAAAACTAAAAGAGCCACAGGGCCATGCTCCCCCAGGCGGCAGCGCCCGGCACTGGGTCCCCGTCCCGCTGTGGCCTCTCTCAGTGGCTGTGGCAGCCTGGGCTGTGAAGGGCAGAGGCCGCCCGAGGCTTCGGCTGCAGTGGGCTCACTTCTCACTTGCTGGCTGTGTTCTACCCACTTGGAGAAAGCCCTGGGGTGTGCGGGGCTGGCCTCGCACTGGCCTGGTCAGCTACCATCCGGGACCTGAGGACCACAGGGGCTCCTCTGCATCTGGGTTGGGAAGAGAGAGCTGTCTTCCAGACTGTGCTTCACCTTGGTGAGCTCCCCGGGGGCCCCAGACTGGAAGTCTGGCCGTGTCAGACAAGTTCCTCTCCTCCCAGCCCCTACGCACAGGGTCCTGAGGCTGGAGGAAGTAACAGGACCACCCCCATCACTCCTTCCCCAGTGGCAGGAGCAGCCCGGCCTGCCTGTGTGAGGGAGAGCGTCAGACGGCTCTGGAGCAGACACCGAGCGGACAGGCGAGCACAGTGCCGGGGAGGGGAGGGGGAGCATCAGGCAGCCACACACACGTCCACAGCCCAGAATGCAAGACGAGTCCCCTGCCCCAGCCATGCAGGGCTTCTGCTTGGCCAGGGGAAGGAGGAGGGCCCCCAGGCCCAGCCACCCGCATGGCGCTTTGAGACTGGGCGCAGAGAGGCGCGGCGCCCCCTGGGGACTGGAAAAGGTAGGAAGAGCGCTGGCCACACCTTCTTCTGACCCTGGGAGGTAGAGTTAGGGAGACCCAGGATGGGCAGGGAATAAAGTCATCGAAGGCAGCGCAAGAAGCCCCGGGTCGTTCTCCTGAGTTGGAAGACTCCCCTAGGTATCTCTCTGGTAGGAGAGAGAAGGGAGCACACGGGAGAAAACCGGAGACCAAGGAGCCAGCAGGACGGCGGGGGAGTCAGGAAGGAAGGGGGAGAGAGGACCAGATGAGCTGGCGGTGCGCGGCCCGGGCTGAAGGGAGCCCGCCCACCCGCTGCAGGGCCCAGGGCAGGCCTGGGGGAGGCAGCAGCCGTCGCGTTACCTGCTGGAGAACGAAGGTTTTCATAGCAGCGATGAGGGGCACAAAAGAATGAAGCACAGACACAGCAGAACTCAAAGCCCCGTGGGCCCCACTCCAGCCCCGGTGCTCGCTGGGGGGCCTGGCTCCCTGCTTCCGTTCCCGTGCCCCCTGGGTGATGCCCCCTTGCTCCTGGCCCCTGGCTGGTATGCCTGTGATGCCCGAGCCCTGCCCGGCACGGAGGCCAGGGGAATCCTGGGTGGTGCCACGGAGGAGCACTGGGCTGCTGACTCTGCCCTAGAACCTTCCGACCACAAGCGGGCCTCGACCGACCTCGCTGTGCCTTTCCAGGACCACTTCTCAGCTGTCGTCTAAGGCTGCTTGCTCCTGTGACTGGCTGTCCTTGCCTTCGCTTGCACTTCTCGTCTCAGCGCTCCCTCTCCTCCCCTGTCACTCCTGCTTCCTCCTGACCTCTCTGTGGAGGGTCTTCATCTCCCTGGCCCTAGTCCCTCTGGAGCTCCGAGGTTTGAGTTACTGCCATGTGAGTCCAGACCTAAGAGCAAAATAGTGTAATTACCAAATTCCTCCAGGACAAAGACGCCTCGAACTGTATTGCACTTTTTAATGTGATTCAGCTCTATGAAAACCTGCAAGAGAGGGAGGGAGGGGGCGTAAGGCCCAGAGGCTTCACCCCTGCCCCACAGAGCCCGCTCTCCCAGCTACAGCCCCACCCCCACAGGGAAACCTAGTTCCCAAAGGGGGGACAGAGGCATCCACACACACACAACTCAAAGCGCTAAGAAGCGAAGACGGCAGAAAGGGCATGTACCTTCCGCTCCTGGCCGGAGGAGAAAGCATGGGAGAGAAATGAAGGCGTTAGTTTGAATGGTCAACCCGTCCCGAAGGCCCCGCTGCTGGCCCGGGCTGCCCGTCCGCACCCTCTGCCCAGGGCAGCGATCGTAGGACACTGTGCCCCAGGGCCCCCCGGCCCGTCTGGTCTCTACACTTCCATGCCTCCTCCTCCGGCGCAGAGGGCTAGCACGGCGCAAAGCTCCCCCAGGCTGTCCTTGGGGTGACAGGTGCTGGCATCTTCCTCGGAACAGGATCCAGAAGCTCCCAAGAAGTATGTGGTGGTGACAATGACGGCAACCATTTGCTGAGCACCTGTGCCTGAGTGCCACCGTGTCTGACACTACCCTGTGCACAGGTGAGGACGTGACCTGCCCGTGAGTGACGAAGCCGGGCTTCCATCCAAGCACGTCTGGACTCCAGAGTCCTGCCTGCCCTGCCCTGCAAAGTCCCCACTACCCCAGACGCACAGTGCCCTGGAGGGCTCGGTGCACGTCCTCACCTCCTCCTGCTGAGGGTAGGAAGTGGACCACAGGCCTCTCTCGTCAGACCGAGGTGAGACCGAGAAGTCAGGGTTTCCTGCCTGAGTCTGTAGGGCATCTCCTCGGGGGCCCGAGCCTTAGACTACAGACAGCTCGGATGTGCTCTGGAACCAGACAACGGCGTAGGCCCAGAGGGGGACGCTCAGGGCAGACGGCCTGGGCTCCCTGCTTCTAGGCATCATTTAGCAAGACTGTGTCTTCAGAATGGAGGCCACAGCGCTGCAGTGTGGTCACAAGCCTGCTGCCCAAGAAGTGTGGCACCTTCGTAGGCCAGAACTCAGGTTAACCCCTCTTGGACTGACCTGAAGGTCCCCGGGTTTGCTGCCACCCTGAGCCTCAGCCTGAGTATACACCCGGGGGCTGTGGGCAGCCTTTCCTGTTACACACAGGCTGCCCGCTGGGTTCCAGAGGAGGGACAGCTATGAGGACAGGTGGAGAGGGAGCCACAGGAGAGTGGACGGCCCCTCCCTGGTGTCTGCTGCCTGGCCGGCGGTAGCGTTCCACGCACGCGGATCGGGCTCAGAGCAGCTGGGAGAGGGGCCAGCACCATGGGGTGGAGTGGGGCGTGGTGGGCACTTGTGCGGAGCCTGGGCCATGCACAGACCCGGGAAGATGCGCTGACCTCAGAAGGGGATTAGCCTAAGGACGGTCTGGTGAGGAAACGGTAACACTGTGTTAAAAGAGCAAGAGGAAAAGTCAGCTCCTACAGTGGAGTCGGGGTGAGGGGAAGGTGGGTCCTGAAGGGTTCCCTCGGCCAAAGACGGGGCGTGAGGCCTGAGGAGCAGGGGACAGTGTGGGGCCACTCAGAGGATGGAGAAGAATGGGAAGAGTCGGCAGGAGAAGAAAAAGGCAAATAAACACACTCCAGAGAGGACGGGTACAAGCTACACACACACACACACACACACACACACATACACACACCGGAGATGCACGAGATCGGCCAGTCTAGACTCTCGAAGCGCGACCACCAAGCCAAAGCGCACCCCGGGGCAGAGGAAGGCAGAGCTGCTGCAAGGAGGGCCACGGGAGACGCTCCCACTCACACCGTGCCGAGTCCAACGGCGGGCACACGGCCCCGGCCCCCCAACTTCCCGCGACACCTTCTTGGTGCCTGGCGGTGGCCAAGGTCTTTGAACCCTGCCCCCTGCTCGCTCTCTCTCTCAGGCCCTGAGGATCTGATTCTCCCTCGAGTCCCTGAGGCCCTGACTCAGCTTGCTGGGGAGGCTCCGAGGGCCTGGACGCTGGTCCTCAGTACGGATGGGACCATGGGGCTCGGCCGCCTCTGCCACCCACCTGGTTGTGCATGAACTTGAGATTGATCCCTTCCAGGGTGACCTGCAGCAAGCCCCCCTCACCAGTCTTCATGTCCTGCACAGGGAACTCGCCCCCGAGCTCGGGTCCTGTGGTGAGGGAGGAGGCTGTCAGGGCTGGCGAGCCAGGGGTCCCACACCCCGACGCCTCGCCAGGCCTCTGGCGCTCAGAGGTGCAGCGCGGGGAAGGAAGGCAGGCTGTCAGGTCCCTCTCCTCACCCGGCTTGATGCTCTGCTGCCGGGCGGCCGCGCGCTCCATGCTGTCCTTCACGCAGTAGTACAGCTCCCGACACTGCGGCACGGGGGAGAGCGTCCTGTCACAGCAGCCTCCCGCGGTCCCCACCCTCTGCTCCAGCGGCCACGGAGGACTGGGGCCGATGCCAGGACCTCAGCGACCGCGTGGGCGTCCCACACGATAGCTGGAGGCCAACGTGTGGCTCCAGATGTCAACTCTGGGATTTTAACTTCCCAGCGAGAAACTCAAGGCTCGGCCCTCGACGCGGACGGAGAGCCTGGTACCTTCTTGGTGTAGAACTTGTTGAGCTGTGTCTCCGAGCCGTTTCTGCGCCACAGGCACAGCACCTTGGTCTTGGGGCAGTAGGTCATGTTGATGAGCTTCTCGTACCACCAGCGCTCGTACACCGTCCCGATGCTGCTCCGCAGCACCACGCAGTCGTCACACACCTGGGGACACGCACGGGGCGCTCAGCTCCTGCCTGGGCGTGCTCCCGCCGGGCGCACAGGCCTGGGGGCGGCCCCGCTCCCACAGCATCTCCACGGTCAGGCCTCCTGCCTCCTGCACGTGGCTCCCTATGTGGAGACACACACGGAGAGGCCGCAGGTGCCTGCCGGGACTGCTGGGGCATGGAGGCCCTGGAGGAGACCTGTGTGCCGGGCAGGGCTTGCTCTTCAAATCGGTCGGTGCTGTCCTCGCCTGCATTCCACAGACTGAGTGTTCGGAGAGTGGCTCATGCCTTTTTTTTTTTTTTTATTTTTGCTGTAGGTCGTGCACACTCACCAGACAGAGAGAGAGACCAAGAGAGGGGAAGCGATCCCCTCGCCTCCATTCTCCTCTCGGGATTTTGGACATACATGCACATGTGCTTGGCATGTTTCTCAAGTCACCAGGTCGGGGACTCACGCCACGCAGTCAGCTATGAGGGACCAGCTGCCTTAACTTCCACGCCACCTGCTGGCCACATGCCTCCCTTATAGGCTTAGGAGTCACCTCTGCCGACATCACAAAGGCAGGGGATTATGGCAGGCTTCCCCGAGGAGAAAAAAAAAAGGAGCCCATGCATTTTCTAACCCTGGCTTTGTACTATGTCCTATAAAAAAATATTTCTAGAGAAAGACAGAGTGAGAGGAAGAGAGAGAGAGGGGGAAAGTGAGAAAGTGAGCCACCAGATCCGGGACTCAAACCACAGTAGGCCATGTGGGAATCTAGAACTCTTAACCACCACGCCACCTGCCAGCCCCTATAAAAATATTCCCAAAAGTTGGTCACACACACGGCACATTAACAATGCCTACTGCACAAGTCGTGTGATACGGGGTAAGTTAAAGAGCCAAGTTCTGTCTGTCCTCTCTTCTTGTTCAGTGTTCTCCCTTGGGTGATCTTATCCATGCTTACAGCTTTGAATACGTCAGAAGACCAGGCAATGGTGAAGAGAAAATGCAACGCGACCCACATAGGCAAGGGCCTGGGTTCATGCCCTGGGACCTCCCGCAGCAGGCCAAGTGCACACATACCCAGGATCCCGGCCACCTGAGACTAGTGGTGGATTATGGCATGAAGGCCTTGTTGGAAGGGCTGTGTCTCTCTCACACAGGAAAAATAAATCAATAAACTTTGAAGGAAAAGACAACAATGACTGTGGGAGATGTTGTAGCATGATGGTTGAGAGAGATCGCCTGGGCTTTGATTCCGGCTTTGCCGTGACATGGCTGTCACCTGTGGAAGGTTAACCTGTGCCCACCTTTCCTCATGTGCAAGACAGGAAGAGTAACTTCCGTCAAAGACAGCTTTGTAGGCTGCTGTGAAAGCTAAACGGCTTAATGTGTGTAAAATCCCTAAGCCTGGGCTCCCCTCCGGTGAGAGGGAGTTCTCTACTTCAGGAAATCTGGAGAGGCTGACTTTCTAAAAGGAAAAGGGGAGAAGCACCCCGAAAAACAGCACACTCTGACTCCGAAGGAGTGATGTGAACACGACTCCCTTCTCAGCCACACTGGCATCCGTGTGTCTGCCTCAGAGTGCTCTCCCGCTGTTCGGGAAAACACGTTCAGAAGGCTGCGAATGTGAAATCAAGTTCAACCAAGCCAAAGGGAACAGGAACTGGTACCCATTCTTTCACCACCTTACACGGCAGTTGTAGCTGGCTCCTAGAATTACTTAGAAAAGACTCAGTTCAGAATTTTAGAAAACACGGAAATGAAGGCCGATTTCCTCTACAATCCTGGAGCAAGGCAGGCTGTACTCTATGACTCAAAAATCCAGATGCCACGAAAGAAATGACAGATTTGATCAGATAACAGTCAAAACCGCTGCAGAGCAAAGATACCACAGGCAACATCAAAAGACAGGGGAGGGGCTTGGCAACGGATCGTCAGACTGCCCCCATGGAAACCCGCTGGCCACCAGGGAGGAGGTGACCGTGAGGGTAACAGGAAGTACATGGCCCCACCTGAAGCATCCGTCCCAACACACTGCATCTGAAACTGATCAGACCTGCAGCGCAAGATACTAGGTCATATGAAATATGAGAGGCAAGGGGCTGGCAGAAGGCGTGGTGGTTAGGGGTGCTGGACACTCCCACATGGCTGACCATGGTTCGGGTCCTGGACCTGGTGGCTTGGTTTCTCTCTCTCTCTCTCTTTCTCTCTCTGTCTCTGTCTCACTATGGTCAAATTGAAAATAACTGTAATGAAAAATAAAGTAAAAAGGAAATAGTTTAAAGAAAAAAGAAATACAAGAAGCAAACACGTTAACATCACCAAGGAGATGCAATTAGTAAAAAATATAGAATGTGAGATACTCCACAGAGCAAATGACCCAATTTCTTCAACAGAATAAGTGGCAAAATGGGGGAGTATTTATTTAAAGATACTTAAGAGTCATATAGACCAAAATGACAAATGTACTGTCCCTTTGACCTAGCGATCCCACTTCAAAGAATTCTTACATATATACTCGTGCAGGTATGAAATTAATCATGCATGGTGTCATTCAGAGCAACCACTGGGGACAGCAAGAAACTGGCAACAGCCCAGGGGCCTGCATGTGCCAACTGGTGGATAACCACGGCACGGCCACAGCGCGATACCGCGGAGCTGTAAAAGGAAACTAAGTTCTCTATTCTGACAGGGGTTTCAGGGTGTTTAATGATGGAAGGAAGGTACAGATCAGCGAATACAATGTGTCACCTTTCTGTAAGAAAGGAGAAAATAAGAATATGTATTCTGGACCAGCAGACGGTGTAACGGTTACATCACTGGACTCCGATGTGGCCAACTGTAGTTCTAGTCTTGGAACTGGCAGTCTGAAAATCATGCCGGGCGCGTGTGCCCAAAGTCCCAAGAGGAGAATGGAGAAGGGACTGCGGTGTGGCCATGCCCCCTTGGGGGTGATTTCTTGCTTTCTGTCTCTGTCTCTGTGTCTCTCTGGCAAGCACACGGGCCCTATAGCAAAAATGTATCTTAAAAAAAAAATTGTGTTCTTATTTTACTGTTTGCATAAAAATCCACTGAAAGATACAAAAGAAACCAATGAGAAGGACTACCTAGAGGATGGAGGGTGGGAGACGGGGAAATTAAGTGGCAAAGGATAAGAATGCACACAGGCATCCCAATGGAAATTAAGTGGCAAAGGATAAGAATGCACACAGACATCCCAATGGAGACTCTCTCTCTCTCTCTCTCACACACACACACACACACACACAGGACATGTATATTGACTTTATTTATTTATTTTAATTTGACCAGAGAGAGAGAGAGAGAGAAAGCAAGCAAGCCATCAGGTCTGGGACTCAAACTGTAGTCAACCATGTGGAAGTTCAACACCCTTAACTACCACACCACCTGCTGGCCCATATATATATACTTCTAAGACACGGTCTTGTTCTGTTGTGATCCTCCTGTCTCAGCTTCCTGAGGTGCTGAGACTGTAGGCATGCACTATTGTTCCTGGCCTTCAGACTGGTCTGGGAATTGAACCCCCCTGTCCATGTAACCTCAGCCTGGGAGTGTCTTACGAATGTGCACCACTGCAGCTGGGCCTCACTGTATGCTATTTTATCTTGTTCTGATTTACGGACATTGACTACATCACGTATTTTATGTATAAAAGAAATGCTGTCTGGGGTTAGGCAGGTGGCGTGGTGGTTGAGAGGACTGGGTTCCCACATGGCCAACTGCAGTTCGAGTCCTGGACCTGGCCGCTTGCTTTCTCACTTTCCCTCTCTCTCTCTGGTCAAAAGTAAAATAATAAAGGTAACAATAACAAACAAAGTTAAATAAAATAATTCTTTTATTTTAAATTCTTTTACTTAAAAGAATATACAAACATTTAATTCCATTTGTTATTGTTATTTTTAATTTTTTTTTATTTTTAGAGAGGTTTTTGCTATAGGGCGCGTGAGCTCGCCAGAAAGACAGAGACAGACAGAGAGACAGAAAGCGAGAAATCACCCCCCAGGGGGGATGGCCACACCACAATCCCTTCTCCTCCATTCTCCTCTCGGGATCTTGGGCACGCACGCACACGCGCCCAGTATGAGTTTTAAGCCACCGGGTCCGGGACGCGAACTGCAGTTGACTACGTGGGAATCCAGCGACATAGCCATTACGCTAACTGCTGGTCCCCCCACCCTTATTTTTTTAAAAGAATTATTTTATTTAACTTTGTTTGTTATTGTTACCTTTATTATTTTACTTTTGACCAGAGAGAGAGAGGGAAAGTGAGAAAGCAAGCCACCGGGTCTGGGACTCAAACCATGGTTGACCATGGGGGAATCCAGCACCCTTATCCACCACACCACCTTCCATAGCCATTACACCAACTGCTAGTCCCTGTTATTGGTATTTTTTAATTGACGAGAGAGAGAGAGAGAGAGGGAGAGAAAGGGAAAGTGAGAAAGCAAGCCACCGGGTCTGGGACTCAAACCATGGTTGACCATGTGGGAATCCAGCACCCTTATCCACCACACCACCTTCAGGCCCCAAATAAAATAATTCTTTTAAAAAAATAAGGGTGGGGGGACCAGCAGTTAGCGTAATGGCTATGTCGCTGGATTCCCACGTAGTCAACTGCAGTTCGCGTCCCGGACCCGGTGGCTTAAAACTCATACTGGGCGCGTGTGCGTGCGTGCCCAAGATCCCGAGAGGAGAATGGAGGAGAAGGGATTGTGGTGTGGCCATCCCCCCTGGGGGGTGATTTCTCGCTTTCTGTCTCTCTGTCTGTCTGGCGAGTGCACGCGCCCTATAGCAAAAACCTCTTAAAAAAACAACGATGTGGGACCAGCAGACAGTGCAGTGAGTACATCGCTGGACTCCCACATCGCCGACCGTAGTTTGAGTCCTGAACTGGGCAGCTTGAAACTCACGCCAGGCACAGGTGTGCCCCAAATCCTGAGAAGAGAATGGAGGGAAAGGACTGCGGCATGGCCACTGCCCCCGAGGGATGACTGCTCACTTCCTAGCTCTCTGTCTGTCTCTCTGATGAGCACACACACCCTATGGAAAACACCTCTTAAAAAAAAAAAAAGAAATGGTGGAGAAATCATTATATTACCTTAATTATTTGTGTAATAATCTGACAATTTAATGGTAAACGAATCATGAAGATAAAGAAGATAAACGGGAAAAATATTCTAGCATCCTTGCAGGAGTTCCTCGTGATTCTCAAATATCCTTGGAGCCCCCAGCATGAACCAGCGCCTACCTCCATGAAAAAGATATCTCCGTTTGTGTCTGTGCCTGCATGCACCACGAACGTCTGCTTCTTCATGTGCCGGCTGCCGCTGGAGCGGATGGAGAGATCACGTCCATTCTGGGAGAAGAGATTTTTTAAATAAGGACATTCATAGATCCCTCTTATCCCTCTTAAGGCTCGGGGCCAAAGGAACTAGCAGTTAGCATAATGGCTATGTTGCTGGAGTCCCCTGTAATTGACCGCGGTTCGCGTCCCGGACCCGGTGGCTTAGAACTCATGCCGGGCGCGTGAGCGTGCGTGCCCAAGATCCCGAGAGGAGAATGGAGAAGAAGGGATTGCGGTGTGCCGCCCACCCCAGGGGGTGATTTCTCGCTTTCTGTCTCTCTGTCTGTCTGTCTGGCAAGTGCACGCACCCTACAGCAAAACCAAAAAAAAAAAAAAAAAAAGAAGGCTGGGGGCCAAGAATCCCCTGTTCAGCAATTAAACTTGGATCGCCTTCCTTAGCACGCACTGTCTTATCTCTGGCTACTGGCTACCAGGGAAGTGTTCTCAGGCATTTTGGTCTCAGGACCCCGGTACCTCTAAAAAATTATTAGAGATCCCAAAGAACTAACTAACTTCCTTCCTTCATTTATTTATGGAGAGGTTTTTGCTATAGGGCGTGTGTGTGTGCCAGAATGAGAGAGAGAGACAGACAGAAAGAGAGAAATCACCCCCCAGCAGGGATGGCCAGGCCGCAATCCTTTCTCCTCCATTCTCCTCTCGGGATCTTGGGCACGCACGCACATGCGCCCGGCATGAGTTTAAGCCACTGAGTCCGGGACTCATACTGCAGTCGACTACATGGGAGTCCAGCGACATAGCCTTATGCCAACTACTGGTCCCCCAAAGAACTTTTATTTATGTGAGTTACATTTATTTATAGGTATTTACCATTCTAAAAATTAAAACGGAAAAAAATGTAAATGTTTATGAATTTATTTAAAAATATTTCATTAATAATAATCCATTACATGGTCATATAAATGACGTGCTTTTCTGTAAAACAGAGACATTTCCAGGCCAGCCAGTGGGATGGTAGCGAAGGTGGCTGGATCCCCACACAGCCAACTGTGTGATTAAAGCCTCAGACCCGGTGGCTTGACAAATACACTGGCATATGTGTACATGTACCTAAAATCCTTACGGGAGAAATGGAGAAGGGAATGCACCATGGCCATTCCCCCTGGGGTAAGTGTACACACTCTGTAGCAAAATTTAAAAAAAGAAAGAAAGAAAGAAAGAACTCTGCTTCTAAAACAAACAGAAAATGAACAGTGGCACTGTTTTACATTTTTGCAAATCTCTTTAATGTTTAGCTTAACAGAAAATAGCTGCCTTCTCCTATCTGTCTCTTCACTCCACTTGTTGCATATGCTGCTCTGTTTTCAATCAACGAAGAAAATCTGCCTTCAGAGTATGTATTTGGTAAAAGGAGGAGGGTTTAACCTGTTCAGACAACTACGTGTATTCTCCTTTGATACAATACCAGAACTTGGAAGTATTAGTTTCTTTAAGTTAGTTGCAATGTGGAATCTGAAAACACTATCAACAAACATTTTATACTATTATGTTAAAAATTAATTTGGGGGGACCAGCTGTTAGCGTAATGGCTATGTTGCTGAACTTCCACATAGTCGACTGTGGTTCGAGTCCCAGACCCGGTGGCTTAAAGTCACGCTGGGCACATATGCATGCGTGCCCAAGATCCCGAGAAGAGAATGGAGGAAAGGGATTATGGCGTGGCCATCCCCCCTGGGGGGTGATTTCTCGCTTTCTGTCTTTCTGTCTCTCTGTCTCTGTCTTTCTGGTGAGTGCACATGCCCTACAGCAAAACCCTCTCAAAAAAAAAAAAAAATTCTTGTGGGTGGCCAGCAGGTGGCATGGTGGTGTAGACGCTGGAATCCCACATGATGGACTGCAGTTTGAGTCCTGGACCTGGCAGCTTGCTCGCGCTCTCTCTCTCTGCCCAAATTAAATATAGTAACAATAAAAGGCAATAAATAAAATAATTACTTTCTTTTCTGAGAGAGATTTTTGTTATAGGGCACGTGTGCTCACCAGAGAGAAAAAGAGACAGAAATAAAAAGCAAGAAATCATCCCCCAGGGGAGATGGGCATGCTGCAATCCCTTCTCCATCCTCCTCCCAGGATCTTGGACACGTACACAATGCGCCCAGCTGATTTTCAAGCCAGCGGGTCTGTGACTCGGTCCGTGACTCCAGCTGCAGTTGGCCATGTGGGAGTCTAATGATGTACTTGCTGCAGCATCTGCTGGTCCCTAAATAAATCTTAAAGTCATTTGGACATTACATTCCACCTCACACTGAGTGCCACACTTGGATATGCAACATCACACGTCGGCTCAGCAACGCACGCAGCTTCTCCGAAGGCCGACATGTTCTATTGTGCGATTCAAAAACACACATTCATTAATGTCACCACCAATCTCATTTTAAAAAGTCCAAAATGTGGGACCAGCAGATGGTGTAATGGCTATGTCACTGGATTCCCATCTGGTCAGCCACGGTTCAAGTCCCGGACCCGGTGGCTTAAACTCACACCAGGAGTGCGTGCGTGCGTGCCCAAGATCCTGAGAGGAGAATGGAGGAGAAAGGATTGCGGTGTGGCCACCCCCCTGAGGGGTGATTTCTCGCTTTCTGTCTCTCTGTCTTTCCAGTGAGTTCATGTGCCCTACAGTAAAAAACTTCAAAAAAAAAAAAAAGTCTGAAATGTTTTTCTGTTAAAGTCTATTATCACAGACAAGTACCTGCCATTTGTTTTCCTTGAAACGTTTGCCTCACGTTAGTAACATTAGAGAAAATATCTTCCAACTATTCAATTCCGAATAACCAAGTTGTTAGTTACTCTTTCAAGTAAAATGGCATTCCTTGAACAAAACTACTGGTTCACTTAGCAACTCAAACTGTTGCAAACTGCTTTTTCTCAAATCAACCATAATTATGGGGCCAAGAGGTAGCCTGGTAGTTGGGGTGCTAGACTCCCACATGGCCAACTGTGGTTCGAGTCCTGGACCTGGAGGCTTGCTTTCTCACCCTTTTGCTCTCTGCTCAAATTGAATAATAATACTGAATAAAATTAAATAATTCTTTTAAAAAAATAATTGCAGCAGAAATGCTTTACGTATATGTCTAATGTCTCATATCTAATATTAATATCAATGGGAAGCATATATAAAACAAAAGAATATTGAAATGTATAATAACCCAAAAACAAATGATGTATGACCAATAATCAGTGATGGATATTTAATAAAACTAATGGTTTTCTCTGCCTCGTCCAGGACACTCGTTAGCGAAACTGGCCTCTGTAAACCTAGAGTGCCCTGCTGTAAGGAGCACGACCGGCTGCCAGCGTGCTTTGGGGCCTTGGCCTTCCTCCGTGTTTACGCACCAGCAGCTTTGTCCCCCGCTGCTTTGTACTAAGTGCAAATGCCAACCCGGTGGAAAGGCCAGTAACACCTCGGGGTGATGACGAAAACGGTCTTCGGCTGAGGGTCCTCAGCGCCGCGGGAAGGACGCACGGCGGAAGTGCTGCACCACGACTATGTCAGCACAGAGGACCCAGATGCAGGACAGAAGCCCTAAGCCTTGTCCGGGTGGAAGACTCTGCCCCAGTTTCAAAGCGGGGAGTGACCTGGACTGTACAGTGACACAGGTCAAGGGATCTGTGGAGGGACTTCTGCATTATGCCAGAAGGCCCAGCCGGGGGCGCTGGCGAGGGCAGCCAGGCTCCCAGGGATGGCCCACACAGTGCTTACCAGGTTCGCCAGCTGATCGAGCACCTCGTTGATCTGCTGGCTGTACACAAGCCCAATGTGGGACTTCCCCATCAGGCGCCTCACCTTCTTCCTGATGTCGTTCTTATTGACCTGGAGAGCCACACAGGGTTTTAATAAGGGAGCTGCCTTCCTCTTAACTGAGAGAAGAGAAAGTTTAAATAAGGTTCCTGCCACCTAAGATAAGCAAAACTCGGGGCCGGCAGGTGGCACGGTGGTTAAGGGCACTGGACTCCCACATGGCCGACCATAGTTTGAGTCCCGGACCTGGTGGCTTGCTTTCTCACTTTCTTTTTTTCTCTCTCTCTCACTCTGTCCCTCTCTGGTCAAATTTTAAAATAAATAAATAAAGTTAAAATAACACAATTTTAAAAGAGAGAGAGAGAAGCGAAATTCTTAAAGACCAAATCACTGAAAATGGAAGAAGCTGTTCAACAGTGTGGAGCCAGCAGGTAGCGTGGTGGTTAAGGCACTGAACTCCCATAGGACCAACCACAGTTTGAGTTTGGGACCTGGCAGCTTGAAAATCACACTGGGCATGTGTGCGTGCATGCCCAATCCCAGGAGGAGAATGGAGCAGAAGGGACTGCAGGGTGGCATCTCCCCTGCGTGGTGATTTCTTATTCTCCCACTGTCTCTGTCTCTCCCGAGCAAGTGCCCATATACTCTTTGACAAAAATTAAAAATTAAAATTAAAAAAATACAATACAATTAAGCTGTATTGTGACAACGCACTAGGAAACAAAGCCCGGCCCTGTCACTAGCTTCTTCAGAAAAGTGGCTCTTAGGGCAGTGCTGGTTCAAGAGACACCTCCTCCCCACCCCCAAATAATACCACAACATTTGCTCCAAAGGGGCTCTAAAATCCCCAGGATCCCTCAGAGAACAAAGGAGAAACAATGGCCCAGAGTGCCAACACCAGGACTTGGCTATGGCTGAGACACCCGGTGACAGTCAGGGCTGTCCTCTCCCAGAGATGATCTCCCCGTAACTCCGGAATTCAGCAGAGGACAATGGTCCTTACAACAGAAAATGAAGCAAACCGACAGGACCGGTGGGACAGTTTCCACATTTGCTAGACCGATCCTTTCACGTTTAGGGAGGCTGGGAGGAATGGGAGGAGAAACCCAGGGGTTCAGTCTCAAAACGCCTCTCTTCTACCCAGCAACCCCAAATTCACATCTCCCCTTCAGGGTAGGACTCTTCTGTTTGCTAACATACTTCTTTCAAGGTGACAAATACCGCATAACTCAACCCAACTAGAACCTATCATTACTTTGTTAGTGGGTAATGGATTTTACAGTTTTGGAAATTCTACATGATAAAGAGCTGGTATTGAAAAATGAATTCTGAGTCATCCTTTCTAGGGTTTTAAAACCTACAATTGTAAAAAAAAATATTTTAAAATTCACTGCATTCTGCGGGGAGCTCTACTGGCATCTTAAAACTCCTTGGCAGAGGAAGCACATACAAAATTCAAAATAAACAGTATAGAAGAATCGATTACTTTGACAACATTCCGTAACAAAACAGCCTCGCTGCTTCAGATAAATGACCCGTGTGTGAACTGGCAGAAAGAGCTCTAACTTCCAGTCAGGAGGAGAGCCTTAGTAAGACGCTCTGACGGTTTCCAACTGCCGCAAAATATCGACCCGGGAACGAGCCTGGCCCTTCCGGAGTCAGAGGCTGGACACAGACACGGCGTTACCTTCATCAGCAGCATGTAGGAGATGAGGTTGTGCAAGAGTGTGGCCAGCAAGCGATCTTCATCATCCTCCAGTCGCTTCCGGTCGTGTTCGCCCAGAGACAGGTACCTAAGCAGGAGACCAGGCACGAATCAGCCCTCGACCAGGTGACCACAGGACAAACGGGGAGGAGGCGGGTGTGCACAGGCTCAGGGGTGTCCTAGGCTCCGTACCTGTCGATCATTTCTTGGGGACCCTGGTCCATACCCATCCCTTCCCTCTCCAACATCACAGCATCTAAGAACGCATCTTCCCAGAACTGCATTTGGTCCCATAAAGTAGAACGCTCTTTGCCTGTGTGGAATAAAGGTGATTTTTAGGGGTTTATCTAACATTTAAATAAAGCTGCTAATGAAAATGAAGAGTAAACTCCACACACACGAGAGTCATGACAAATTCCAGGGCAATGGAAACCTCAGTCTCTTTTTCCCCAGATTAACATTCCTGCCACCACCCCCAGAAGCTTCCAAGGAAGGCCCAGTCCCTCCCAAGGAAGACGGATGGACACAGCACACAAAGAAGAGAGGCGGTTACTTATAGAGAAGGTCTCCATAGCGGCATCCTCTAACTGGTCCCACATCGATCCTTTGTCCCTTCCTGCCAGTTTGTGAGCAGGAAGACCACGGTAGCAAGCGAGAGAGGAAGGCAGACGGAAAGACAGAGGCTGTTGAGTCACACCAAAATCTGATCTCCCCTAGTCCTCACCCACTTGTTAGAGACCCAGGAAGCGGCTCTTTTCAGACACACCAATGCCGCCTAAGGACGGCACTGAGATGAGCAAAAGGTCAAGCTGTGACTTGCTCAGTGCAAGCCGCCCCCTGGCTGAGCCTCCTGCCGGCTCTCTCCCCAGGGCCAGGGGCCTCCCCAGGCTGCTGCTCACCGAGGAGTCCCTCATAGAGGTAGACTCGCTGGCCCGCATCTTCGGAAGAGGAGAGCGAACTGGGCTCCCCACCAACTTCTCCTTTGCACTTGGCTTCAAGCTGTGGGCCTTCCCCTAGAGACAACAGGTGATAGGTCAGCTGCCAGGGACAACAACGAACAGGGACAAAGTTGACCAAGCATGTCATTAAGAGGCTCACACACGGGTCACCACCCCTCGGCAGCACACAGCACAGCACCTCTGCTTCAGCTACTCTACTTGCTTCTAGGGTCTGGCCAAAAGCTAGGAAGCCACCGGGTGGCATGGTGACTGACTTACTGGACTCCCACATGACCAACAGTGGTTCAAGTCCCATATCAGGCAACTTGCTTTCTTTTTTAGAGAATTATTTTACTTATTTATTACTATTATTATTTTTCAGTTTGATCAGATAGAGGGAGAAAGGGAAAGTGAGAAAGCAAGTCACCAGGTCCAGGACTTGAACCATGGTTGGCCACATGAGAGTCCAGTGCCTTTAACCTCTACACCGCCTTCCAGCCCCAGGCAGCTTGCTTTCTCACTCTCTCTTCCTCTCTATCTCTGTCTCTCTCTGGTGAGGCACATGCCCTATAGCAAACTGAAAAATAATAATGATAAATAAAACAAAATAAATGATTTAAAAAAATAGCAATAATAATGATAAATAAAACAAAATAAATAATGATTTAAAAAATAGTTAATCAGCCAATCTTGCTTTCTGTTACGTCTCCTTAACCATGTGATCATGTTCTCATTTTGAATCATCTTTCTCCTTAGTCTCTATAAGGCTATTTTTTTAAACAAACAAAAAACTGGGGCCAGCAGGTGGCATAATGGCTGAGGCGTTGAAATCCCACATAGCCGATCACAGTTCAAGTCCCGAACCTGGCAGATTGCTTTCGTGCTTTCCCTTTCTCTCTCTCCCTCTTTCTCTGGTGAGTGCACATGCCCTGTAGCAAATTAAAAATAATAATAATGATAAATAAAATTAAATAAGTAATTGTTTTTGCTATAGGGCGCATGCGCTCGCCAAAAAGACACAGAGAGATAGAAAGCGAGAAATCACGCCCCCAGGGGGATGGCCACACCGCAATCACTTCTCCTCCATTCTCCTCTTGGGATCTTAGGCACACACGCACATGTGTCCAGCATGAGTTTAAGCCACCAGGTCCAGGCCTCGAACCGCAGTCGACTACATGGGAGTTCAACGACATAGCCATTACACTAACTGCTGGTTCCAAAAAATCAGGCTAATTTCTGTAGCAGCAAGACCCAGTAGAAGGAATGCGGGGTTTGAAGTCACGTGACCAAGGTCCAGATGCCATGTGAACTTACCAGCTGTGTGAACTCAGGCACAAAGCTTTACCCCTGAGTCTCGTTTCCCTCATCTGTAAAAGGCAGGCTATAATACCTCCCTCCCAGGGTTGCTGTAAGGGTTACATCTGAAAATATATAGCAAGCGTTTAACAGTGCCTGGCACATGGCTGGTAACTGACGAAGGTTCACATCCTACCGCTTCTTACTGCCCCTGAGAAACAGCACCAACCTTCTCAGTCACTTCTGCAACATCGGACTTTCTGTTCGTTCAGAAGACTTCCAACTAGGTTAGAGGTAGAGACTATTACCATCTCACCACGTAGGAACAAAATAGGCAGAGAAGCAATGGATCCAGAGACATTGGGCAATACCTAATTAGTATGAGTAAATGCCAGTCTCCTGGCTCACAGCAGTACTGTGTTCAATGGACCATACTCAACATGATTGATTTCTTGTTAAAACGACCTTTCTTTGAGCCAAAACATTTTATTTACTTATTTATTTTACGGATTTTTGCCAGAAGCATGTGCACTTGCAGGAAAGAGACAAGATAAACTGAGAGAGAAAGTGAAATCGCTCCTCAAGAGGGATGGCCACGCCATAATCGCTTCTCCTCCAATCTCCTCCTGGGATTTTGAGCACATGTGCACACGCAACCAAGCATGATTTTCAAGTCACCGGGTCTGGAACTCGAACTGTGGTCGGTCATGTGAGTCCAGCACCTTAACCACCACACCACCTGCTGGTCCCTTGAGCCAAAAAATTTGGGTAACTGCCCTCAGTAACCCAACTACACAAAGCCTCCTTGCCCACGAGCATAAAATGAGAAAGAATTTGTCCCAGGAAGATGTCAGGAAAGGTAGCACACGGCTGGATGGCTTCATACAAGATGGATGCTCCATTGTTTTTATCTTAACATCCAGAATGGAAGCTTGTCGAGAGGATTTGAAATACTATTTCTTTGTGTGTGTGTGTGTGTGTGTGTGTGTGTGTGAAATTTCGCTATAGGGTGTGTGTGTGCTCATTGGTGAGACAGAATGAGAGGAAGAGAGAGAGAGGGAAAGGGGAGAGCACCCCCTGGGGGACGGCCACACTGCCGCCCTTCTCCATTCCCCTTGGGACTCTGGGCATGCCCCACACCAGCAGGCTTTCCAAGCCGCCGGGTCTGGGAAACCCACAGTTGGCCTTGTGGGATCCTACTAGCCCCCCAAACACTCTTACCAGAACAGCTGCTTAGGCTCAGTGAGAGTTAAGGCCTACTCACTCGAGACACCTCGCTGACTCTCAGTCCTACTCCCAACCTTCACTCCGGGAGGTCCCAGTTTTATGACAGACATATATGCACAAGGCCTGGGGTCGAGAACGAAGTACGTAATCTCATTTACATTCTCATCATATCTTCCGTTCTTCCCACATACCAAAGACAAGGATCTAGGCGCTCCTGCAATACCCATTCTCATCTCTGTGTTCAATGCTGCCTAAAGAGGCCCGTATTGGGCCACTGGTGGTGTGGCCAACAGTCGTGTAATGTAGGCAAAGTTCTTCTCTTCCTAAGGCTTTGTTCCCTCACCTACCAGAAGAGACTATTCACAGCCGTAGACTGAATTGCAAATTTCTTTTTTTTTTTTAAGAGAGATTTTTTTCTATAGGGCGCATGCACTCGCCAGAAAGACAGAGACACAGAGAGAGAAATCACCCCCAGGGGAAATGGTCATGACTTGTTCCCTTCTCCTCCACTCTCCTCTTGGGATTTTGAGCACACATGCATACAAGCCCAGTGTGGGTTCTTTTGTTTTATTTTGTTTTAAAGATTGTTTAATTTTATTCATTCGCTCATGTTTTTAAAAAAATAATTATTTACCTTTATTTATTTATTTTAATTTGATCAGAGAGAAACTGAGAGAGAGAAAAAGTGAGAAAACAGACCACCAGGTCCAGGACTCAAACTGTGGTCGGCCGTGTGGGAATCCAGCACCCTTAACACCACACCACCTACCAGCCCCTCATTCATTTTTAATTTGACCAGAGAGGGACAGAGAGAGAGACAGAGAGAGAAAGTGAGAAACCAAGCTACCAGGTCTAGGACTCGAACTGTGGTTAGTCATGTGGGAGACTCTGGCACCTTAACCACATATCACCTGCTGGTCCCTGGTGTGAGTTTGAAGTCACCGGGTCCAGGATTAGAATTGTGATTGACTATGTGGAGTCCAGCAACATAACCATTATGTCATCTGGTGGTCCCCTTGCAAATTTCTTCAGAGTAGAAATGCATTCTTATTTCTTTAAAAAAATATTTTTTGTTAAAAATTATTTATTTTAATTGTATTTATTATTATTTTAATTTGACCAGAGAGACAGAGGGAGGGAAACTGAGAAAGCAAACCACCAAATCAGGGACTCGAACCAATGTAGGCCACACGGGAGTCCAGTGCCTTAACCACCACATCCCCTGTTGGTCCCTTACACTTTTTTAAAAAAACATCTATTTCGTTATTTCTTTATCTGTTTATTTGTTGTGATTTTCAAGCCACCATGTTTGGGTCTCAAGTCACGGTCGGCCACGTGGGAAGCCAATGCCTCGACCACCACGTCACCAGCCGGCCCAGCCCTGTATCTTGAATACAGAACCTAGCACTTGGTAAAAGATTTCATAGGCGTTGTTCTTTGTCTGTTTAGGTTTTTGCCATAGGGTACGTGCACTCGTAAGAGAGACAGAGGAAAAGTGAGAAATCACCCGCCCAAGAAGGATGACCACACCACAGTCCTTTCTCCTCTTGGGATTTTGGGCACATATGCATGCCTGTCCAGTGTGATTTTCAAGCTGCTGGGTCTGGGACTGGAACCGTGCAGCGAGCCATGTAGGATCTAGTACCTTAACCTCCATGTCACCTGCTGGCCCCACAGATGTTTATTAATGAATGAAAACTCCACATGACTGATAGGACTAAACTACAATGAAACGCTGTGTTACAGGGCTATACAAACAGAGCAGTCCACAGAGACAGGTAGGCAGGCACTCAGTGAGAGCTCTAACTGCCCTCCCGTTACCACAGAGGTTTCCATCACTGTTTCAAACATGTTACTACACAGGGCCTGGGGCTCCAACCCGACTAGGGGTGGGCAGCCTAACTCAGCAGTGATTTAGAGAGGGCCTAACTCCCTTTCACCAGGATGTCAAAGGACTCTATTAAAAAAAGCCTGAAGAGCCAGCAGGTGGCGTATTGATTAAGGCAGCTGGACTCCCACATGGCTGACGGTGGTTCAAGTCCTGAACCTGACAGCTTGCTTTCTCACCTCTGTCTCTCTCTGGTCAACTTCAAAAAATAATAGTAATAATAATGACAATGAAAATAAATGAAATAATTTTTTTTTTTTGAGAGGTTTTCGCTATAGGGCACGTGCACTCGCCAGACAGAGAGAGAGAGAGACATAGAGACAGAAAGCGAGAAATCACCCCCCAGGGGGGATGGTCACGCCGCAATCCCTTCTCCTCCATTCTCCTCTCGGGATCTTGGGCACGCACGCACACGCGCCCGGCGTGAGTTCTAGGTCACCGGGTCCAGGATGCGAACCACGGTCGACTACGTGGGAATCCGGCGACATAGCCATCACGCTAACTGCTGGTTCCCAATGAAATAATTCTTAAATACACACACACACATATCCATTTTCCTTATAGCCCAAGTATATGAGGATCATCCGCTCCTTATTTTATCTTTCTCTCCTTACTGTCGTTTAACTTTTCATTCTTTCCTAACGTCCCACGCACATCTCCTTTCGTGAGTAATCAGAGCTTACAAAGATGGCGCTCGTGGCAGAGTTGGTCTCAATTTCACTATCAGACAACGTGCCCCGAGAGCCGGCCAAGTGGGCGCTGCCCTCGCCACCGGGTCCATCACCTGCATTGCTGCTCAGGTCGCTGTCCGCTCCCAGGGTCTCTCCAGAGCTATTACTCACCTAGAGGGAGAAAAGGTAGTGAGGGCCATTTCCCAAGGAAGGGCCCCAGAGATGCCCAGCCATTAGAGCTCCTTGCCACCGTGAGAAAGTATCAGAGTTCAGAGGAGCACCAGCCTCTGGAAGCACCTTCTTTGTAAGGGGAGCAGAGCCTGAAACCCCGCACAGACACACCTATGACAGGTAAACATCTCCCCTAGGAGAACCGTGCTGACCTGACGCTAAGAGAAGCCTCCCAGGAGAGAGTATCCTCCTTTTCCGCACCCACCCACCAAGATGCCAGTGTGGTGTTCCCCTACCACGGTGCTAACTTCAGAATCCTGACTCGAGCTGCGCATCATCACAGCCGGACTCACGCCGCTGACAGAGTCGTGGTCAGTCCTCTGAAACAAGGCACAGAAACCGGGCACGTTAGGAAAGCTGTCCAAACTGTTCTGTTTCCCTTAGAAATACTGTAACTTTCAGGACCAGCAGATGGCATACGTCACTGGACTCCCATGTAGTCGACCGCGGTTCGAGTCCTGGACCCGGTGACTTAAACTCACGCCAGGTGCATGTGTGTGTGTGCCCAAGATTCCGAGATGAGAATGGAGAAGAAGGGATTGTGGTGTGGCCATCCCCTCTGGGGAAGTGATTTCTTGCTTTCTGTCTGTCTCTTCTGTCTGTCTTTCTGGTGAGTACACACGCCTCCTACCAAAAAAAAAAAAAAAAAAAAAGCTTCAACTTTCAAAGGCCAGCCAGTGACATGGTGGTTAAGCTGGATCCACCTGGCCAACTGTGCAGTTCAAGTCTTGACTAGGTGATTTGAGAATGTGTGTACTGGGACCAGCAGATGGTGTAATGGTTACATCCCAGGGCTCCCACGTAGTCGACCCTGGTTCAAGTCCCAGACCCAGCAGCTTAAAACTCACACCAGGCACGTGTGCAATGCATGTCGAAAATCCAGGGAAGAGAAGGCGCTGTGGTGTGGCCATCCCCACCCCGGAGGTGATTTCTCACTTTCTATCTCTCTCTCTCCAGCAAGTTCATGCACCCTATAGCAAAAATCTCCCCCTTAAAATAAGAGAGAGAGAAAAAAAAGAGATCATGTGTGCATGCCCAAAATCTCAAAGGAAGGGAGAAATGGAGAAGGGACTGTGATATGACCATTTCCCATGGAGGATGCTTTCTCACACCCCTCCATCTCTCTCTAGCAAGTACACACACCCTCTTGCAAATTATGAAAAAAATAAAGAAGAGGAGAACTATTGTAACTTTTACTTCTCCCTATCCCTACTCTTCGGCTACCATTCCTACAAATGTCTTGAGCAACATATTCTTTTTGTGAATATCAAATACGTGTGATGGGCCGGCAAGTGGCATGTTGGGTTAAGGTGCTGGACTCCCATATGGCCAATTGTGGTTCAAGTCCTAGACCTGGCAGCTTGCTTTCTCACCCTCCATCTCTCTCTCTCTCTCTGGTCAAAGTGAAGAACGATAATAAATAATTATTTTAAAAGTAAATAAATAGGGGGGCCAGCAAGTGGCATGGTGCTTAAAGGCACTGGACTCCCACATGGCCAACCACGGTTCAAGTTTCGGACCTGGTGGCTTGCTTTCTCACTTCCCCTCTCTCTCTCTCTCTGTCTCTCTCTCTGATCAAACTGGAAAATAATAATGATAATAATAATAAATAAGGTTAAGTGGAATAATTCTTAAAAATAAAATAAAAGTAAATAAGTAGGTATGACCTACATAGCAGAAAAGGAAAAAAACACATGAAAAGAAATGCATGCATGTGATTAAAAATTACATGTGCAAGTAAGGACATAATAATAATACTTTAAAGAATTATTTATTTGATTTTATTTGTTATCATTATTTTTTAATTTGTTATAGGATACATGCACTCACCAGGGACAGAGAGAAAAAAAATTAAGCTGCCAGGTCCGGGACTCCAACCACAGTCGGCCATGTGGGAGTCCAGTGCCTTAAGCACCATGCCACCTGCTGGCCCCGCAAAACAATTTTTGGAGCTAGACAGTGACAGCAGTAAAACACGATGCTCTGCCAGGCAACCCCGCATGGGAAGGTTCCCAGCTGAAGTCTGGACGCCTCTGAGTGTGCCAGGCCGGCAGGTGCCACAGTCTGAGGCTGACAAAGGCAGGACTAGGTCCAGATTGTGTTGGGAGTTGGGGGGAGGTCCAATTTCTCTCCCTCTCTCTTTCTTGCTCATGGAAAAAATAAACTTAAAAAAATAATAATTTCTTATTAGTTCTACCACCCACATTAACTATATTACCATTTCAGTACATTTAGTATTTTTTTAAGAGAGATTTTTGCTATAGGGTGCATGCACTTGCTGGAGAGACAGAGAGAGATAGAGAAAGAGAAAGTGAGAAGTCACCCCTGGGGGAATGGCCACGCCACAGTCCCTTCCCCATTCTACTTTCGGATTCTGGCACGCACATGTCCCTGGCATTGAGTTTAAGCCTCTGGGTCCGGGACTCGAACCATAGTCAGATAAGTGGGAGTACAGTGACATAACTGTTATGCCATCTGCTGGTCCCAGTATATGTATTTTATATATTACTACATATATTTAGTAAATATATTTTTTAAAGAATTAATTTGGGGCCGGCAGGTGGCATGATGGTTAAGGGAGCTGGACTCTCACATGGACAACTGCAGTTGGAGTCCCAGACCTGGTGGCTTGCTTTCTCACTTTCCCCTTCTCTCTCTCTCTCTCACTCTCTCACTCTCACTCTCACTCTGTCCCTCTCTGGTCAAATTAAAATAAATAAACAAATAAAATAAAGCTAAATAAAAATAATTCTCAAAAAGAAGAACTACTTAGTTTTATTTATTTTTATTCAATTTGAGTGAGAGAGAGAGAGAGAGGAAAAGTGAGAAAGCAAGCTACCAAGTCCGGGACTCAAACCGTGGTCGGCCATGTGTGAGTCTAGCGCCTTCACCACCATGCCATCTGCTGGTCCTAGTGTGCATATTTTAGTATATATCCTTGGAATCTTTTAAAAATATGCTTTAAAAATGTGTATAGCTTTATAAAGAATTTCCTATATTTCAGTATTTTTTTTTTTGGAGAGTTTTTTTTTTTTTTTTTCCTTAGGGTTGTGTGCTTCCCCGAAAGAAGCTCACCAGACAGACAGAGAAAGACAGAGAGACAGAAAGCGAGAAATCACTCCCTAGGGGGAATGGCAATGCCGCGATCCCTTGTCCTCTGTTCTCCTCTTGGGATCTTGGACACAAACACACACACGCCTGGCGTGAGTTTTAAGCCACTGGGTCCGGGACTCGAACTGCGGTCGACTACGTGGGAGTCCAGCGACATAGCCATTACATTAACTGCTGGTCCCATGTCTCAACATTTTGAAAACACAATTTTTTTGTTTGTTTTATTTTAGGTTATTTCTCTAATACAGAGACAGACACTCTAACAGGGTCTTGCCATGCTGTGCTTCCCTGCATTTTTTTTTTTTTTTTTTGGAGAGGTTTTTGCCATAGGGCGCATGCGCTCGCCAGACAGACAGAGAGACAGAAAGTAAGAAATCACCCCCCAGGGGGGATGGCCACGCCGCAATCCTTTCTCCTCCATTCTCCTCTTGGGATCTTGGGCACGCACACGCGCCCAGTGTGAGTTTCAAGCCACCAGGTCCGGGACACGAACCGCGGTCAACTACATGGGAGTCCAGTGACATAGCCATTACGCTAACTGCTGGTCCCTCCCTGTAATTTTCCCAGTCAGCCAGACCTCAGGAGCATCCAGCCTGACCGGATGGACCCGGGATCCAAACCTGGGCCTTCCACATAGTTCCAGCATTGTGTGGCAGTGCCCTACCACACAGCACTGCAGCTGGGCCCGAAAACACAACGTAGTGGATCGTGACACTGTACCATATCACCCCAGAGCCTTCGCTATTCATCTAGGGTCTCCCCATGCTGTGACCCCTCCGTCTCAGCCTCCCGAGCAGCTAGGACACGGGTGTGCACTACGGCCTCCAGCCTTCATACTGAGCTGACTATTCTATTATTAAGTAGTTGTGTGGTTTCAAGCTTGTTTTGCTATTTTTTTTTTTTTAACTTGAAGAATGTTAAGCTGGCAAATAACCCTTCCTATTCTCAGCAAGATGGTCACAAACCTGGGACCCAGACGTCAGGCTGACGCCACTGTCCGCGCTGATCTGGGACTTCTTCTCCTCTGTCTCCCCAAGGTCAAAGACAGGTTTGAGGACGTCAGGCCCTGAGGAGGGGAAGATGTCTGTTACTCAGTGCACCAAGGCTGGGGCAGGCTGGGGACAGAGAGGGACAGCAGCACGGTCAGACCCGGACCTGTTCGGCCCCTCCCAGTCACCTTTCCAGAGCTGCCCTCCTCGGGACCCACTGGAAGATGAGGTTTCCGGATGCCTTAAGAACCAGGCAGGACAAATTAGACCTGGTCTCAAAGGACCCCACAGCCATCTTCCCAACCTGAGAAAATTCTGAGCAAATCGTCCTCACACAGAAAAGCTCCACAAATGTCTGAACCACAGTCCAAATCACTCAGGGTCAGCGCTTCCCTCATGTTGAGACCGTAAGGGTCCCCAGATCGCTCAGTTCTCAAACAAGTACATCCAAAGGAGTCAGAAAAGATTAGGCCCAGTGAGATGCACACACCAGGTATTTCAGTGGGCACTGCTATCCCCACGCCAAAACTTCCACATTTCAGAGAAAGACCACCCCCATTTCCCCCCGCCCACCCGCAATGGTATGGCAGAAGGACAGAATGACAGAAAGCAAGAAAGCGTGCCTATGCAAGCCACCAGAGTTGGGCAGCTACACACTCAACACAGAGGGACGGCAACCATCTCTGCCAACTATGCCCACAGGCCTTCTCACGGGGGGGAGCTTTCAGCCAATGAGGGGCGCTGAGGGGCATTCGTTCTCCCCACCCGCTCTGAAGCAATCGAGAGCCAAGTCCCTGGGGACTTAACTCAGCAGACGCCCTGACTGCTACGGGGGGGAAGCACCCTACAAGCCAAGTACCTAGGAGTCAGACCACCTACCTGCTTTCATTCCAAACACCCCCCCCAAGAGCAAAATTTGGGGTGGGGCTGACAAGGGAGCCTGCCCCAACTGGGCCTGGGGAGTTGGCAGGTATGGAAGACTTGGGAACAGGAAGGGGCATTTGTTCCTTACTCGGTTTTTCCAAAGCTTTTTGCTTTTTCACTTCCTGGTGCTTGTTCCATAATTCTACCCCAGATGCAATGCAAGCAGGAGAGAGAGACAGAGAGTCAGAGGCTGGTCAGACAGGGGAATGGACACCCGCCCACCCAAGCTGCTTCCGGCTCAGGCAGATTACCAATCAAGAGACACAGAGATATCTTCTTTGTGTGTGTGTGTGTGGGGGGGGGGAATGTGAGGAGAATCGAGAGATCCAATGCCTTCCCCCAAACTTACATACTAAAGACTCCAAATTCCTAATGCTAACCCCCCAATACGGCAGTGAAAACTCTAGAATGTTAGAGCTGGAAAGGCCCTTCCTGCAGCGCCTTCGTTTTTGCATGAGGAAACTGACCTAAGGGGGTGGAGCCCCTGGTGAGAGCCACGCACCTTAGGAGCAGCCTAAACCTCACCACACCGTGCTCCCTCTGCCACAGGAGCTGGGGACGGGCACTGGCTAGAGCCCAGGGAAGACCTCGCACACCAATCTGGACACTGCGCTGGACAGAGGCCAATGCAGGCCGGCAGGAGACATCCCTCCTTGTTGCTACCCCAGAAACCAACTCACCCTCAGACCCTGTGCCTGCCCTACCAAGAGACAAGGTTTTAGTCTGGGTTCTGGGAAGCATTTCGTACAAGCAACAGAGAACATGACGTGGTCAAGACGAGCATCTTAGTAGGGAAAAGCAGAGTGAATAGGGAGCGTGGTCGTTCTTCTCCCGAGGGGAACTTTGGGGTTTATTTTGTAAGATTTCCTCATTTTCCAGATGAGGAAATAGAAATCCTGAGAGGGAAAGTGATTTGCATCAAGTCATCCCTAGTTGGGGGTAAGCACAGGCCTAAAACTCCTAATTTTCAAACTGGCCAGTCTCTTTTCTTAGAACGTCGCATTAGGTAAGAGAAAACCAGGGCTGAGGAGAGCGCTATGCTGGCTGGAGGAGTGTGGCTCCCCTGAGGAGGAGACTGAGTCCCCACTGCCATGTTGTGGGAACTGTCAGCAACCACTGATGGCGGTGGCGAAGAGGTGCCAGCTGCAATCACTGTGCCTAGGGACCTAGAACCAGAAAGACACGACCTGGATGACTAGAGGCCAAGAAGGAAGTGAGCCAAACAGAGGTGACACCTGGAGAGCTCACCAAGGCAGCGCCCTAGTGGGGAAGAGGAAACGCTGAATGCAAACCAGCCTTTTTCTTTCTTTCTTTCTTTTTTTTTTTTTTTTTAACAAATTATTTGTTTAATTTTATTTATTGCTATCTTTTTTTAGAGTTTTTTTTTGGCTATAGGACACGTGCACTCACCAGAGAGACAGAGGCAGAATGCGAGAAATTACCCTCCAGAGGGGACAGCCATGCCAGAATCCCTTATCCTCCATTTTCCTCGTGGGGTTTTGGATACACACATGCACCCAGCGTGAGTTTTACACCATCAGGTCCAGGACTCGAACTGTGGCTGACTATGTGGGAGTCCACTGACACAACCATAATGGAATCTGCTGGTCCCTATTGCTATTATTATTATTATTATTATTATTATTATTTAGAGGTTTTTGCTATAGGGTACGTGTGCTCGCCAGAAAGGCAGAGAGAGACAGAGAGACAGAAAGTGAGAAATCCTTCTCCTCCATTCTCCTCTCTGGATCTTGGGCACACACACACGCACATGTGCCCAGTGTGAGTTTAAGCCACTGGGTCCAGGACTCGAACCGCGGTCAACTACATGGGAGTCCAGAGACATAGTCATTATGCCAACTGCTAATCCCCATATTGCTATTATTTTTTAAATTTGACAAGAGAGAAACAAAGAGAGAGAAAGACAAAGAGAGCAAATGAGAAGGTAAGCCACCAGGTCCGGGACTCAAACCATGATCAGTCATGTGCCTTACCCAGCATGCCACCTGCTGGCCCCTAAACAAGCTTTTAATCAAGTCAAGTGAAGAAGGTTTAAAGATGGGCTTGCTCTGAAATCTACACTCTGAGGTCCAAGCGAACAAATTCCAGGGCAGTGTACCGACTGGGTGGGCGAAAACTGCCTTCAGAGACCCAGAGGTGCACCTATAAACATCCCTAGAGCTTTCAAGGCCTCACGTGACCTCTCTACTCTGCGAAGAAATCCAGATACAAATAGAGGGACCGGGACTAGAGCTCTGACCCCCCGCTCTGGGACTCACTGGACCCTCTAGACAAAATGTCCAACCTCTCTGTGAGATGTAGGCGGGGTGGCTGCAGATGAAGCACAAGTGACAGAGGAGCATAAAGAAATGCCATCGGAAATGGACACTGACCTATCTCCCTCTCTAGACAGCAAAGCATGGGGAAGAGCAAGGTGGGCTTCTGGATGAATTGATAAGAAGGGGGGGTATTTACAAAGCCAGGACCCTTCTACCACACCAAACGCAGTGACACGTACCAATAGATGCCACGAAATTCTCTTCCTTTAGGCTCCTGGTGTCCGGTTCCTTAGGACCCTTTCCTGCAGCACTGGGTGCCCGAGGTCCCAGCTGGGGAACTCTCAGCTGCGCCATAGCCTTTGGGTCCCCCCGCCCAGACAGACCAGGATCCTTGCTGACGGGGGTACTGACACTCTCGGTTGGACTTCTCTTCCGTTTGTCTGGTTCTGAGGAAAAAGACCGATAGAGGAAGTCAAGAGAGAGCGTGAGTGGGAATTGAGGCACGGAATTGAGGTGGGAGAGGTCAGGACACGGGATGATGTAGAAAGGAAAAAAAAAAAACCTGACATCTTTCTTATGGCAGAAAAGTTCCCACCCAAGTATAAACATGCGCTAAAACACAAAAGGCTGACCGGAAGCACCGTGACGTTTGGGAGAAGTACGGTGGGAGAAGAGTGGGAGAGCTGTGGCGGCACGACCCCTACCTTTGCTATAGTAGTGGGTCTGGGCGATCTCCAGAAGCCCAAAGATGCTGGCCATGCCGCCCAGGCCCGCGTGGGCATAGGACTGCTCCAGGCTGAGCACCGTGCACTTGAGGAGGTCGAGCATGCCCTTGTACACCTTCCGGCTGATCTCCTGCAACAGCAACCAGGGACGACAGTGGGCAAGCTGCCTCGGGCACTCACGTCCCTCTCTGCAGTCGACTCGGACTCCCCCTCCCAGACACTGACCACGTCCGGGATGACGTCCTGCCGGGCTTCATCCTCTGACTGCACCGTGCGGGTCAGCATGCTCCGC